AGCAACAAAAAATAAGGTACCTAAGTATAAATGTAAGAAGAGATCTATTAGGACTTTATGGAAAAAATATGAAGTTTTAGTGATGGACATGAAAGAAGACTTAAATCAATGGAGAGATATCCGAAGTTCAAGGTTATGAAGAGTTACTATCAAAAAGATGATAATTCTTTCAAAATTAATTTATAAATTCAATGTAATTCCAGCCCAATCAATAAGTATAATTCCATTTATGTCAAATGTAAAACAGAAAGCAGTACTTAATATAGTGTGTATGGGTATATACATGTATAATAAAAACATAAAAACATGAATGGAAATGATACACGTCCAATTCCAGATGTGAGTTAACTTCTGTGATGACAAGATAAAGAAATATGGATGGGAGCTTTTGCTGTCCCTTAAAGATTAATTTTTAAGGAAAAAGTAATTCAATGGTTAAAAAAAAAAGTAGAGGAAGTGAGGGCAATCTATTCTTTTTCCATACGTTGTTGGAGGGAGACTTTGCTGGAAGAGGAAGTATAAAATAAGAGCAGAAAGAATGACCTTGTAAGACTATAGAGAAAACACTGTCAGGAAAGCAAGAAATAAAACTATCTGGAGAATAGAAAAGGTACTTTTCTATTGTGTGGATCTTTCAGTTAATGCTCAACGTTGTGTCTTGCAAGATTTCACTTTACCCTAAGTGTATTGCTGCCCTGGGGCTCTGTCTCAGCTTAATGGGTTAGGACGCTTACAGACAACCAGCCTGGAGGCTATGGCCTGGTCTCTAACCAGGAGAACAAAGAGCCATTGGCTCCCCTGATCCCATCCAGGTGGGTCACTACAGTATAGACCGTCTGGACTATATTCTAGATGTAGTTTTAGCAGCAAGCTATGACCATAATTGAGAAGCAGAAGAAATCAGGATATACCCACATCAGGCAAAGCAAACCACACATCTGTCTCCTTTGACAATCTGATTCTTTGTAATACATTCTTTATATCTACAATCATTTTTGGCAAGGAATTGTTCTGAATTCATCTTTGGGATGGCTGCCAAGTTTTGTGCTTAAATTCGGGCTCAATTTTTTACCCGTAATATGATCCGCAATGTGAAATATGCTAAAATTGTGTTCTGCTCAGAAAGCAGAAAAATAAGAAAGGCAGCTCATTTTCCTCAGAAGGTAAGTTACATGGAAAAAATCCCGTCTGAAATCTTTCTACTAAAAGTGCGGTGCAGGGTCCAGCCCCATTAGCATCACCTGAGAGCTTGTTTGAACTGAAGAATCAGGCCCCACCAACCAACTGAATCAGAAAGGGAATTTTAGCAAGATCCTCGGTGATCAATATGCACATTAATGTTTGGCCCAATGCAATGGTCCAGATTACAAAGTGAAGGTCTTTTCTAAGTACCAGACTAGTATAATCCAGTGCTAGACGGCAGAAAGGACATTTCATTAGAAGCGATGGTAGGAAAATATTTATAAAAATTAAATTAAACTTTTTAAAAAGCTTTATTGTTCTTGGAAGCCTTTGTTTTAGGCTGGTGTATTTCATAAGCAAATCTACCCTTAGTTCTGTTAGTAAAAATAGGATGTGGAACAAAAATAGTGCGATCGCTGTTTCTCATTATCTCATTTTGATTCTTGAACCAAGACCAATCACTTTCTAAAAGCACTCTGCAAGCATAAAATGCAATTTCTGTTAATGCCTTTAAATATAGGTTTTACAAAAAAAAGTCCTTTTGAGCTTTGATTTCTCCCTTATTCTTTTTGTTGCAGATTCAAGCATAATTTCTCCAGTTTTTCTCCCTACTCAATTTCACCACAGTGTCTACAACCCAAACCCTAATTCAGAACTTGATGTGATTCATATGCTTCTCATATGCTCCTCGCGCACCCCAGGGAAATGCTGCTAAGCTCTCATCTGGAGAGAGTTTAGACCAGGCCAGAAATAACTCACAGGCCTGCCCTTCTCACTAATCATCTGCATAAGAAGAGGCATCTTATGTTCCACAAAATTCATGTTAAAAATAAAACTCAAGCAAGTCACACAAAGTAATCAAAATTAACTTCTTACAGGTAAGAAAGGAAACAGCTGAGTCATTAAGAGTTTCTATATAATGATGAGGATTTAATGTCCATTAAACCGTAAAATGGATGAAACTTGCTTTCTGTGTTCGTAATCTCCCATCCTCTGGAAGCAGAGCCTAATGTCCCTCTGGATTTATCTGTGAACTATCCCAGAAGATACTTTAGAAATGGTCAAGACTGAGAGAATTAACATGCACTGAACATCGGCTAAACACCAGTTGTGTGCTATACATTTTAAATCTGACATCTTCTTTAATCTTAACAGTGGTCCTAGAAGTTTATTATTAACCCCTTACAGATAAAATGAATCTTTTTAGGTTTCAGTGAAATAGCTTCTTGAAGCTGATTTATTAATAATTTGTCAAGATCTGAGATTTATCTTTCTTAAACATTCCCAGGATCTAGCCCAGTTCCTGGCAATCACTGAACGTCAGAGTGGTCAATAATGTGAATGTGTTAGAGACAAAAAGAAAAAAGACCAAAAAGGAAGCTACCTTATTTGGCAATTATGAGGCCCAGTGAGCCCTGTGAAGGACATTGGACTCTATCATTAGGACAATGAAGGTGTTTTATTGATCATTATAAATAAAGCATCTTGCACAGGAGTAGCATGTGCCAATTACATGCTTAGCACATGGCACAGGCCTATATCAGACAAAAATTATATAGTATGTAGATTTCTTCCCATCGAGTAAACCAAAACCTCCTCCTTTCCCTGCAGCAGCTTAAACCTGCTGTTGCCTTTCTGGAGCCCTGAGGGTGTCTTTGTCTTAACACAATGCCATTTGTACCCTGAAGAGGCGCTGCCGGATTAGTGGATTAAAGAAAGCAACTTGAGATGTTTCACTTGGTCCAGAAATAGGACTGTTGTCCCATATTTTTAATTGGTTCTTGATGCACAGATTGGTGTGTCTGAGAGGAAGAAAAAGGCTTTTAAATAAATAGACCAGTGTCCTCAAAACAATCCTCCTCTCTCAACAATTAGCTACTTATTTTCTCTTCAAAACAGAATTAGCAATTCCAACCACAGCCCAGTAATAGGTAATAAGGTTTAGTAAATAACTTTTAATTCAAAATGGCAATTTAAATGCCATGTATCATCACCCAATATTTGTTAAGCATCCTTTACCCATGTGGCAAGTCACATGTACCTCTCTATTGATTGATTAAAATGTGTGCTTTCTACACCTACTCTAGGAGATACTATTACTGCTGTTTAATTTAATCTAAGACCACCCAGAATATGATGGGATCCTACTGTTAATTCCATATCCATAGTCCCCATTCAAAAATGCTATAGGACAGCAAGAAACATGAAAGTGATTTTACAGATCAACTACGAAGTTAAAAAAAAACAACAAAAAAAACTTTCCAAATCATTCTTCTAACAGTAGTGGGAGGAAATGTGGACTGGGGTGGGGATGAGATACAAGGGTGAAGAGGCTTAATTGTGATGGGAGGTTTCTGCTGGAAGAAAGAATGTAGGTGATTCTCTGCAAGAAACTAAATGTGCCTAATTCCAGGAAGTGATAAAATTGTTGTTCTCTGAACTTAAACGGTCCAAGATTTATTCACCAAGAGCTCAAGAATCTACTCTGGTAATATTAGGGCTCTAGAACCATTCTCTCAAGAATCTTAAAGTTATTTATAACCCAAATGATGAGTAAAACAGAGGAAATTTGGGGAAAGACTTCCTGAAGTTCCCACTGTATTCTCTTTAACAGTTGCTTGGACATATATGCTGCGAGTTGTCCATCCTATTAGTAACAGCGCTTCCTTCCTGCAGATTCGTTAGCACTGAAACAATACACCATAAGAAAGGATTTACATGAAAGACAGCTGGAGCCGGTTGCCAGGGGAACTGACTATGTTCCAGACACATTCCACATTCGGGGGATAAACTTCTGGGTAGTCAGGGCTGTCGAAGATGCCTTCAGCCATGTAGAAGGTCCCACCACAAGCTGGAAGAAAAGAGAAATCGAGTGTCAGCACAAAGATCGAATCAGACACCACAAGATAAAGGAGAAAGAACACTAGAGTCATTACTAGTGTCAAAGGATGTAGTATTTCCATCTTACATCCAAAAAAAAAAAAAAAGAAAAGAAATGTCATGTATAATGAGAGAAAGATTCTGCAAACTGAAGACCAAAGGCCAGGCACTGTGGTGGATCAGAAGGAATCTCTGCAGTGTCTTTTCTAAAAGCCTTTTCTCCCCATGAACTATAACTTTGAATAATAAGAGACTTGTTTGTAGTCCCAAAACCACCCTGTTTTTCTGATCAGGATTATCTTCAACGCTGTCCTAGAACAGGAGGTAGTGTGCTAGTTTTTCCCTCTCAGGAGAGCACAGAAACACACAGTTCTGTGGCTTTTAACTATTAATAAATAACAAGGGAGCCGGCAGCCAACAAACAGGCTAAGAAACCCAGTACTGGGTGGCCCCCCCTTCCCCTCCTCCCCACGTGGGGCCACCTTACCAAACACGCCATGAAGGAGAACACCAGGACTTCTGAGGTCATGGGGTTTAGCTAAAAAGACAGCCAAATTTCCAACAAATTCTCCCCACTTGTAGAGTTCACTATTGTTAAAATGTACAACACGTTCACTTAATTGAGAAGAAGGTAAGGTTAGGCACAGAGGGGACCTCAGGAAACCAGCTCCCGACTTGGAAGGTAAAAGAGTCCCAAATAGCAAACCGAGGATTTCCACCACATCCCTGGGAACCCGCTAGAGCCTTGGCTGAGGTTTCTCACCTGATGATGACGCAGCGTATGTAGCGTGGAAACCATCGGAATTCACTGTGGAGTCAGAGACAAACCTCAGCGTCAGGGCACTGCTGAAGGACGTGACGGGGTGGGGCATGGAGGTGCCACAGTAACGGCCTGAATGATGAAGATAACGACAAGGAGAATGAACGATGACACAGCACAGGCCGTCAGTTCTAGTAAACACGTCTTTACGAGACTTGCAAGACACCAGGGCAACAGAAGAAATCACTACCAGAACCACTGAAATCACCGTCAGTGTTTGCGACAATACTTAAGAATTCAAAGTAAACTATAAATACAAGCATAGGAGAGTTAATTTATAAACATGATAAAAAACAATAACACCAGAGGAAAAACTTAGACGATCAGGCTCCAAATGTAACTAAAGCAAAGATCTCTAGCACAGCAGGAACTTGTGCAAATAAACGCGCTAATACTTAAGAGTCAATAAGAGAAAAATGTGGATGCTGGAGCCAAACTACCTGCATGCAGCTCCTGGCTCTGCCATTTACTAGCTACATGACCCAAGGTAAGTTACTTGAGTGCTCCGTGCCTCAGTTTCTCCACTTAAAAAAAGGGGATGTTGAAAATAATAAAACCTATATCATAAGGATATGAGGATTGAGTTACTATCTATAAAGTACTTAGAATAGTACTCAGCACAAGGTAGTGCTAGATAACTCTTTGTTAAATGATACACCCTTGCCCTTGGTCAAATGCTCATTGACAAAGATCTCAGTCAATACAAGGGGAGGTGAGCATAGAGTATTCATTGATTTCCTCTATCGTTCTGGGCACTAGGAATAAAGCAATAAGCAAAAAAAAGTCTCTTCTCTGATGGAGTTTGTCTTCTAGTGCAGGATGAGATGTTTGTGTGACAAAACTCAGAAATTAGTAAACTCATGGAGAAAGCTTAAATGACCTGAGATTATTTTGCTTGAGAACATTTCAGAAACTGGATAGGCGCACTCTTTAATTTTAGTGGATGTCTAACAAACCAAGTGGCAGTTTGTTTATGTATGTGGGTAAGTATGTATGTTTTGCTTCCCCTGAGCACAAAGCTAGAAGACAAAAGCTCAACTGGAATATAAGAACCATGGTTAAATATTAACAAAACATCTCTGACAGATACTATTTGATGCTGGAACGGACTGCATTCCGCTACTATCTAAAGCAGTTGCAACTGACACATTTTTTAAAAAATACACACAAGCTACTCACATCCTTGAACATAAACAAGCTGAATTCCTTGAGCCCCACCTTAAAGCCTGCTTTCTCACCCTCTAATTATCTTTATTCGTCTGAGGCTGCTCTTCATATTTATTGGAAACATTCTAACCTTGAATAGCCGCCTATAAATATGTAGGTATATAAATAAAACGCAGCCACGGCCGCGAGTGAGTGCCGCAGTACCTCGGAGGGGCGCGTCATCGTGGTTGCCATCCAGAATTTCTACAAAGTCGTGTGCACAGGTTGTGCTGCCTTCAAGTCCAAAGTGGGTAAAGGAGAGGGTAATATGATTGACTGTAAGAAAGAAAAAAAAAAAGAGAGAAGGTTATTTAGTAAAGTACTGGCAAATAAAACATACAGGGAGAGAAATTTTACCTCCCATAATTTCATGTGAAGTTTCTCCAGCAGAGAAGTAAGGAATGTGTCACAGGGATTGAGGGGATAAGGAGAAGGAAGAGGACAACTTCTATGTTAAGGGTTTCCTTTGAAAAATAACAGAATAGGCTGGATGCTGTGGCTCACACCTGTAATCCCAGCAGTTTGGCAGGGCAAGGCAGGAGGATTGCTTGAGGCCAGGAGCTCAAGACCAGCCTGGGCAAAATATCAAGACCTGGTCTCTACAAGAAAAAGAAAGCAACAGAATGGATGTTTTTGAAAGTGCCTGTGGAATCTGAAATGCTGGCAGTGGTCACTAAGACAACCCTTGGGTAGGTTCATTCTAGACACTATAGGGAATGTCTTGTTGGAAAATGTATAGTCTTTCCACATTTTTATGTCAGCCATTGCTGTGTTCCTCTCATATGCATTTTTCTCAATAGAATAGTTTCCTTAAATTCTGATTCCTTACATACGCTTGTAAATAAGACATTCTTTTCTCCCTAGCACTCATATTTTTGCACACTCAGTTTTATTTTAAGGCGAGAGCTAGCCCCCTGGAGGTTCAGAGTTATTTATCAAGAAAGCTTTGAATTACTTGCAGAACAGCAAGTGCCTGGGTACGTTTTCCTTTTGTTGTTCTAATCTTCAGAATAGGATCTTTTCTGGTTGCTGTTCTTGAACCAATGACAGCTTTCATCTAAATGCTTTACAACTCATTAGAAAATAATCCTTGGGCACAAAATTGCTCTGCTCATGGCAGGGGGCTTCTCTATCTAAGGCTCAGTTTCCGTGGTTGGCAACTTTCCCTGCGGCTCCTCTGCGATTGGCCAAGAATGACATCACTGGCCCCACATCTTATGCATGTTGATAAAGATACTATCACTTTCTTAACTCTTAACATACCTAGGGGAAGGGCCAGAGAATATTTAAACCAAACTCTTCGTTTTGTAGATTATTTTGTCGCGTGGCCCAATTAGCTTAAGTGACATGCCTATTTTCACACAGGTTATTAATTATAGAGCAGAGTCAAGAACATAATGCCTTTCCCACGTAATGTCTGAAATCGTATGTTCCTGATAACATCAAAAGAGGGCAGGGATCATCTGAACAGGATTCATAATGGCCCCCAGCATCACCCTCTTCACAGTCACTTTGTTGTAACTGTGGGGGTCATTTTCTCATTGTCTCTGTTTGTAAAATGTGGACACTAATCCTTACCCCCCAGCCAGGCTGCTACCCCCCAGCCAGTCAAAAAATAAGATTCTAGGATTCCAAAGAGAAAATAAAGTAAGTGCTTATTAAATGTGCCTTCCAGGCCTGTGCCGGGATATTCTATATACACACATTGCAGGAGGGAACAGGTTTTAGAATTAATTTCCACTTTGATTGATAGGGTCATGGCATTGCCTTCTCGAACTGCGAGTTATTATTTCTCCAGTCTATGGTTCTTAGTATTCATGTATTCATTCAGCAACTATCTTGAGCATCTTCTGCACTCAAGGCATACATGCCAAAAATGATTTATTTATCTATTAGTTTTGCCTACCCCTAATGTCACATGACTGTCAATACAGTAAGGTTATAGGTGTGTCGTGTTGGTTTTTCTTTTTAATCCTTTGCTAGGCCTTGAAACTGAAAAAAAAAAAATTATTTTAAATTAAGAAGCAACTGTAAAAATTACTTCCCTACCGGATTGGGAAATGCTTGTTGGGAATCGGGACTTGCAAAAGTAGCCAAGGAAGGCCACCGACTGTCACCGCTGAGGAGATAAGAACATCACTCATACACTAACTTTCCCACAGACACCATCTGTACTGGGTTCCTTTTATCTTTGTTACTTACATGGAGGCTGAGCTTCAATTATCCAGCTGCAGTTCTGATTGTGTGGGTACTTGGCAGGGAACAATGGAGAGGAAATGGTATCAGAAGAGCTGGTGAGGATGTGGCCTCCGCAGGCTGCGGAACACACAAACACACGCATGTCATGAACTTTAGGTTTCTACTGACTGTGCCAAGCAATTATCTGATGAATGAAAACATATTCATTTTTCATAAAATAAAGAAAATTATTTTTTTTTCTTATTTCTACAATGCGTGCGAGGGAAGTTTTCTGCCAAGGAAGCTGCACATAAACCATGAGAAAATGGGAACACATTTTACATTTATGACAGTGTTCTTCAATTACAGGAAGTAGGAAAGTGGCAAAGAAAAGCAGATGAAATCGCTATGAATTGCCTGAATCATTCAAACAAAACTTTGGCACTGATTCACTTACTCTGCCCACTCGTAAATTATAGGTATAGGGCTAATCTGTTTATCAACGACCTCTTTTTTGAGGAAAACACTCAATTGAACAAGACTTCATAAGGATGACTGCGTATTATCAAGACGTGCAAAGCTCTGTGGGAGTCCAGAAGAGGCAGAGTCTGTCACCGCCGCCCCCGCCGCTGGAAGGCGTAAGAGGAGGCCCACAGAGCAGGCAGCCAGAGGGAAGAAGGGCAGTCCAGGGAGGGGCAGCCTGAGCAAAGACACAGAGGAGGATAAGGGCTACATCTACACAGACTCGGTTGGAGTGCAGGGTGCCCAATAGTGTTGGGGTGACGCTGGAAAAAGGTGAGGGCAAGTTCTGGGGCCCTTGGTTAACATCTGAAGGAGCTTGGACTTTATTCTCTAACAGACATTGGAGCACTAGATAGCTTAATCAGAGTGTGGCTTTTGCAGGTGATTTTGAAGGAAGATGGGGCAAGGGTAGGTGAGTTTCAGGAAGCTGTTACATAATAATAATAATAGTCCCTGCTAATAAGAGTTAGTGGGGACTTCTTACTATGAAGCATCTCAGAAGTGAATAATTTCATGTAAAAAA